ATACTCACATTTTTGCAGGCTGCCTGGGGAGGGAGGAAAGGGGAAGGGAGCCCAGGAAGCCACTCAAGGTTGCCCTGGGGGCGGGGCTTCTGCTGGGCGCACGTGTACACCTGGCCCCCCTTCCCTTTCCCCTGACCGCGTGAGGTTGGCGGGCTGCCACCCCGGAAACCACTAGCTCTGTCACCTCAGAGGAGTCTGCCCTGGCCTCCTGTTGCAAAAGCCATGGGCTTCAGCCACGGAGGGATGGCTTGACAGTTAGTTAGCAGTGAGTGCAAGCTCCTGGCCCCTGGTCAGGGGATCTGCTGCCAGCCTCCTTCCAACCAGGCTGCTGGCTCACCGGTGCAAGGACTTAGGCTGCCGTGAGCCTGAAGCTGGCCAGCTGCCCGCCCAGGACTGCTCTAGCGGCTTCGGGCGCAGGTGAGACTGAACAGCTGGGAGAGTCACCCTGCAGCTTTAAGATCCTAGGGGGAGTGAGTCTGCCCAGCGGGGACAGGCCTCCTGGACTCCAAATTGGCAGCCTAAGTTGGAATTGTCCCAGCCCCCATGTCACCTGGTGACAAGCTGGACCCGCTTCCTGACAGCTTCATTCTGCAACCGCCAGTCTTCCAGCCGGTGAGCAGTGCTCTGACCTGGAGCCTTCTGGGGTTTGGGGTGCAGAAGACCTCAGTCTTGGGGCTCACTGAGCCTCCCTGGCAAGGCGGCTTTCCAGCTAATTCTAACTTGGGTGTGAATTGAATGTCTGCTGGGCTTTCCAGATCCTTGCATTTCAGAAACAGGGGAGGCTGGTGAGGCAGTGCTGTGTCCCTGAAAGTATGGGGGGCTTTTTGGAGGATCTGGAGTGGGGTATGGGGAAGTATTATTGGGAATGGAGGGGACACTGAGAAATCTCATCCCCGGGGGGTGGGGGGGTGGTGGCGAGGGATTTCCTTTCCTTCTCCTTCTCAGTGCCAGGGCAGAATTTCAGAAGCCCGAACCTCCCAGAAAGGAGCCCTGGTAGTTCTGTGGGTTAAGCACTGGGCTGCTAAGGGCAAGCTTGGCAGTTCAAAGCCGCCAACAGCTCCGTGGGAGAAAGATGAGGCTATCCGCAGATGGGGTTGTCTGTTCCTGTGAAGATTTAGTCGCAGACACCCTAAGCAATGATTTCTACTCTGTCGCATAGTCTTGCTGGGCATCAACATTGACTCCGTGACAGTCAGCTTGGAGCTCCCAGAAGGACCCCTGTCCCATGAGCTCTGGCTGAACTGAGAAGCACTGTCATTTTTGCCATGACTCGGCCCTCACCTCCTCAGAGAACTGCATTAGCTCTGTTAGTTATGGGGCCAGGCTAACCTGCGGGTACTCTCAGGCAGGGGATGGGCTCACTTCATCTGGATGAGGGACCCCATGAGTACAAGGTCGTGATGGC